ATACGCACCATGATTTAAAAAAGGTTGTTTAAATTTTATTTGTTTGATTTGTTTTATTTGTAAATATTCAAAGGGAGCTTTGCCACATCTACATAGAAAATGATTTGAGGAGTTTTTAAACAAAAATGCGTAGTTTATTAATAATAACAAATTTTTTGTACTAACAACAGGAACGGCAAACTATTTAGTGTTTCTAATATTTTTTATACCATGATACGCACTTTGTTGATATACAGAGGTGGAAAAATAATAGAAACGACTTTATTTTGGGATAAAAACTAAATTTTCTCAAAAACTACCCGTTAGAATTATATGATTAGTACCTCAAATAAAAGGTATTTGACTCTTATTTCATATGATATATTGAGATAACAAAGAATAATCTGAACAGATTTAGTATCTGAAATAATTTTAATTTGATTTATTTCAATATTAAACGTAGCCTACTAGCCATAATCGATTACAAAATTTTGCTTAAAATAAATTAAAACTTAGACTTCAATACCGATTATGACTCATTACCAGGAACCGCAAAAATATGATCTAAAAATGTGTTTTATGCACATTAAATATGCAATAAAAAACTAAAACTATACTTTTAAAAAAGTTTTATTAACTTTTTACATTGAAAAGCTCAAAAAGAATTGATTATGTGCTGAAATAAACACTCCACGTCTCCACGAATTCATAAGATGCACCATAAAAAACATTTTCATATTTTGGTTTCCCTGCTGATTACTATCGCTCATTTACTAAAAGACTGACATAACTCATTACATATTTGGTGTTTTTTTAAATGAGTTTTTCAAATACTCCATATGAAATACTTTATCATATCGACGCCTCCAAACTAAAACATTCAAAGTTGAAAAAGTGAGTTTAGAGTTTTAAGCACTCAAAGTTTAAAATATTTTCATAACTACTTACCTATATGCTATGTACATTTTGTCTTATAACTTTTGAACGTATCGATAGACCTGAACCAAATTTTCACATTGTATAAACTGACAAAAGTCAGTCTTGTACTACTAGTCTTGGTGGCCAAGACAAGACTATCGATCGGTCTGTGATCCATTTTTTGTTGTAAAGGTATAAACTCATGTTTTCACGTTTATTAAATAAACATATAAAAATTAAATTTCAATTTAGATGAGAAATATATTATACTACATATTTAAATCTGATTTAATTTTTGAAAACACTTTATTTGTTTAAAAATTATTTAAAAAATAGTAAAAATCCATTAAATATTCAGACATTTTTCTCGAAATAATTTTTTTTTTTCGGATTATACTAGTCTTGTAGCAAATGAGCGATATGATCTATGAACTGGATTTTAATAATTTTTATGAAACTATTTTTTCTCTACAACAACTAATTAGAAAATATTAAAATGATACAGTAGTTTTACCAATTACTACCATTACTTTTAAATAACTATTTTATTTGAATGTTTTTGTTTTAATGAAAAATATTTAAATAAAATAATTTTTAATAACATTACAATGCATTGTCAACTTAAATATTAACTTAATTCTCTACGTCCTACAAGGTAAGGTGACATTTTCAGGTTCATTTAAAACATACGACGAGGATAATGTAATGGTTGCTGAGGCTGTTGTCCAGGTTGTCCCGACATGACGGTATTTTGTTGTCGTGAAAGCTGTTGGGGATCATGACCCGTCGAACTTCGACCTGGGACATAACCCTGTGTAATGCTCGTTCCGGGCTTGGTATTCTAATAAAAAATAATACTGAATTAAAATACATTCGAAAATTAAAAATGGGAATCACGTTACATATACCTGTTGGGGGCCACCACTTATTTGCATAACATTGGGATGTAAAGGCATATTGGGTATTAGAGGAGTGTAGACAACACCCTCGGGCAGTTGATGCGGTGGTGGTCCACCATGTGTTGGAGGTCCGTCGTGTTTGACCTCAACGTGATAGCGATCCGATATTTTCTCCATTGTAATTTGTGGTTTCTGCGATTGTACACTTGACACTCCACCTACTCCGCTACCACCAGGCTGAGCAATCGGTGGTAGATCCAAATTTATATGATATACTTGCGTAGGCTTTTGACCTGGTACATCTGATTTAGAAACTGGTACAGATGTGGGCGGTAACTCCAAATGATAACCTTGACGTAATGGTAAGTTATAATGGCCATAAATAATGGTTGGCCCTCTCGCGTCTGACGGTGGTTGTGGAGGAGGCGCATTACTTGTCGTTTGATAAAATAATGTTCCCGGAGTTTGATATTGTGTATGGGGTTCTGAAAGTAATAAAAAATAGGCATAATGGTTTAAAAAATATATAGTAATAAGAGGAGATAAACTCACTATTCCATAAGACTCTAGCAGAATCAGCACCACGACGGACTTCTTCATGCTCTTAAAAAAGTATAACAAATTTACAAAGATATTTATTTAGTCTAACTGCAAATTGTTTTTGTGACTTACTTGGCTGGGAATAATTTGTAGTTTTGTAATATCCCTGTTGTGTGGGCGAAGGACTACGACCTCTTTTTACAGGAGCATTACTTGGGGGCTGAAAATATTCATTTTTTGTAACAGTTAGCAGAACTTTATTGATCAATTTACCTTTGTCAGTATGGGCATTTGATGATGTTGCACTCTAACTGGTGGTAGAAATACCTGTGGTTGTGGTGCACTTGCCTGTTGAGCTTGTAAGGCCTGTATGGCATACATTTCATTGTCCTTTTGTTGTTTCTTGCGATTCTCATCTTCATTTAGCACTTTTTTCAATTGTAGGAATAATTGTTGCTTCTGCTTGTGCAAGTCATTCAATTTTTTCTCCAACTTTGAAATCTGGCCACGAGTCTCCTCCAATGTCATATCATTTTGACGTTCTCGAGCCTCACGTTCTTTGCGCAAGCGGTCTTCTTCTAATTTAGCTTCAAATTCTAGAATTATAAAATATTTTGATTTATAGGTACATTTTTGTTTGATTTGTAGTCTATAGATTACCCTCCTTTTTCCTTTGCCGTTCCTTGTGTATAAATGACTTGAGGGCTCCACGAAGTTTCTCTTCGCGCTCCGCTTTCGCAGCAGCTTGTACCGCCGCATTCGTGGTGCTATTTGACCCCGAAGCGGGCGGCATTTTGGAGTTAAACTTTTTTTCCGTAATTTTGACGATTTTTTCAACCAAATTGAACAAAATAAATATAAAATAAATCTACTTTTTTAAATAACTTGCAAAAATTGTAAAATTTCTGTAAACGCAGCAGCTGTTCCCAGAGACCTACGCCGATAAACAATACCAGCGGCGGCGGCAGAAACAATAAATTTTGATGGCGGCTCACAAAAGCCTGTTTTTAATGCTTTCTCAATGGCGTCTACTTTGGGAATTAAAAATCGAAAAAAATAATCCACTTTTAGGAATTAAAAACAGGGATAAATTTTGTAGTTTTGGAATTCGTCATTTAGACTTTTTTTCGACATTGAGCTATTTTTCAATGTTTATACATATATGTTTTCTGGCTCACAAATAATTTTTCCATTCGCAATTCGTGTCTTGGTAGACGATAAATCCGACTGTTGTTACTAACTTTCTACGGTTTTGCGTTTCTCTCGCACTGGTGCGATGCGTTACTTCTTTCAACTATTCATGCATGCGTTTATATTGAATTGAGGTTATGTTTAACTGGTGACGAAATTAAAATACTTATTTTAATTAAAGAACACTATTTGTTTTTTAACCCAAGTATTTATTATTATTTATGTATATGTGTATTTATGCTCTACTGTCGACATTATTAATTAATATTTCCGATATTGTATTGTAAGAGTACCAAAAGAACTCAATTAGCAGAATTGTTCAAGGTCCCGCCTTCCCATACGAATGTATAAGTCGATTAGAGCATAATACAAAATTCGGTTTTTTAAACTGAGGGCTACAAAACATGCATCATACTAAAGTCTTTCATATAGATTCTATATTTTAGAATTATCAAATTTCAAATATGTATGTCTATTATTTTCAGTGTAAGATATTTAGCAAATTTACTTACACCCAATTTACACGATGATTTTTTTTCATGTTTGCCCAGACGTCTGTTTTCATGTTTGTCGATGATTGGTGGTGAGCGGGGTAGAGAAGAATGGGGGGTAAGAAAACAAACATGATTTGGGATTTTCATGATTGTTTTTGACATTCCTCTTTAAACTCATTCGTACTGTTGATATTATGCTCATGTAAAAAAATAATTATGTCTTTTTTTAGATGAAAACATTAAAATTTGCATTAAAAAATACTATAGCGTGTTATTACATTTTTTTAAATCAAATTAAATGGTTTTTATGTTAAAAATTTCATTTTGTTTTTATTACGAATAAGTAATTAAAAAGGATTATACAATTAAACATCAAAAAAAGACATGCATAGTTGCATGTAAAAAATCACCGTATAAATGTTCATGATTTTTTGGAAGATTCTCAAAAGAGAATTGGAAAAAACAGACGTCTGAAAAGTCTTCATGTAAATTGCGCCTTACAAAATAATTAATACACTGGGACTTATACTTAGATAATAATATCTCAAATAATCGATTTGTACTTAAACATATTGAAACACATAAATCCGAACTAAAAATAAGGTGAATTCTGAAAAGAATTAAATCGTTCTACGTTCTGGATATCATATTTTCCACATAAGTCCCGCATACGAAAATTATTTTTACTTTAATAAACCTATTAAAAATTAGTAAATATTAACATAAAATTCAAAACAAATAAATTTTATATACAAATGCAGAAATTATTATTAGATTTTTTCTAATTATTCTATAATCCAATATAAATTCGAATTATATAGTCGAGTTGGACCAATATATCACTGAACATACCCCTAACAGTCAGTGGCCAAAAACTTTCCAACACTGCCGATTTGATACAAAATCATGCAACCCTGAGAAAGCGAAGAGGAAGAGTAAGGTAGATAACAAAACAGAATTGGGAAAAATTGACATTACGTTTTTTGTTCTCGATCCTGTAAGAGGTTTTTGCTCGCTTGAAATCGTCGGATTTGTTTTTTCTTCATCTTTTCAAAATCTTTTGTGTAGTTGTGCATAACTATTTGAATGGAAATTTATTTACTATCGATTATTAAACTTTGCTAAAATAATTACAAAAAAACAAATTCATTAATAATTCTTCTAGTGTGCAAAAAGGGGTGTGTTGTGTTTTTTTATTTCTTTTTCAAGTGACAAAAGTGTTCGGATAAAAAGATATTTTTATATTATACCGGAAAAATAATGTAATGCCTAAATAAACATATAAGTAGTTGAAAAAAGATAACGCAAAAAAACGAAATACAGAAATTTCAAAAATAAAAAATAGGGCTAAAACAAACAAATAAACATAAATATAATACATACTAACAGCCAACAGCAGCAAGCACGAGTGCAACGAAGCGTTTCTTCACTTTAGTGCAGCAGCAGCAAATACATACAGTTTTCACTTCACCATCATCCAACAAAAAGAGGAATAAAGACCAGACAGGCAACATACCAAATTAATACAAAAATAATAAAAAAAAGAAAAGAACTCGACCAGCCAGCAAGTGAACCAAAGAACCTGAACAATGGCGAGTAAGTACAATTCCAGACATTCTTATTTCACTAAAATAAAAATAAAACTCAAAAAGAAAAGTTATTCTTTATTTATATTTTATTACATACATATTTAATTTTATTTTTACTATTTGTTATTTTTTTCAATTAACTCCAAAAAGGTGATGAATGATAAACATACACACCGATGCACACACTCGCTACATTTTTATAGTTTTTCATCTCTTTTATTTAGTTTTTGTTTAATTGTAATTTACACATTTAACTTTGTGTTTATTTTACTTAATATAAACAACAACTACAAAAAGATTTAAGAACGAATTTATTGTAGTTAAAAATTAGTTTCAAATTCTATTGGTTTGTTTGGATGCTTTTATCTGCGCATTTTCTGTTAATAAAATTTTTTGGTCTCATTATTGGAATTAATATTGTCCGATATTTTTATATGATAGAAAGTAAATTTTCCAATTGGATTGTTTATTCATTAACATTACATTCCCTATTCATAGAAATTGTTTAAAAGTGACTTGAATACAAGTAGACTTAATATTACAGTGGAAAAATCAATATTTATTATATTGTTCTTGCTTCATTCTCCATCATCGTTGTAAGTCAACCAGACGTCCAACTCTGTCATCATCTGGCAACAAATAAACAAATACAAAAACACCATACCTCCTTCCTAAAATCTCCAACATTTATACAAATGTATTTACATAGTTCGTATGTATGTATGTGTGTATATATCCCCCACCCAATGTCTTTCTAAACCTTTTCTCGCATCAACGCCGCTCATCGTCTAACCCCTCCTCAAAACTCGTTTCATTTTATAATGATCCCATGTTTATCCAACGATTTACAGGATTCTCTCTTGTTTTATTTTATTTATATTATATTGTATAATTTACATTCATAAAACATTTTCTTGTTTACATACAGTCGTGTTTAGTTAAATAGAAATATCTATCGAATCGAAAACTTATATACCTATAGGTTTCAGGCATTTATGAACTTTACTCACTGTCGGACACCGGCTAGGACAATTATTTCGATTTTAACTATTTTAACAATTTTTAAATACAAATTAATTTAACCCAAATATTTTAAATATTCGTGGATAAATTCGCTTTTTTAAGAGTTTTTTAAACATCTGTAAGAAATATTTTTTTTTTATAAAACTAAGTCACAGTTTTTTATAGACTATTTGACATGATGAATTAATAGGTTAATTTACAATCAATAACAAAAAAAATTATGCTTTTATGTGTGGTAGATATTATGTGTGGTAGATTAAAAATTATAAGGTTTTAACTTATTTATGCATATATTCAAAAGCATTTTTAAATTAAAATTGCATTAAATCGAAAATGGTTGTATTTTTTCAAACGGCTTATAGATTTTGCTATAGACCTCATTAATAGCAACCTAAAAAAATATAATCTTATTAATTATAATTAGCGGAAAGGTGTGCTTCACAAGTTTTTCTTAAAAGAAAACTTTGATGCAAATATTTTTGTGGTTAGCCAATTACTGCTTGTTTAAATTATCTTCTGCTTCTATTTCTAAATTTAAAGGAGTAAATAATATAAAAACCGTTAAAATGAAAATCTATATAAAGTTTGGAAATAAATTTCAAACACATGACCTAAATTTTTTCGATGCATTTAATACAAAATCGTACTTTTTTCTAACGGCTTATCGATTTTGGTATAAGCATCATTGTCAGCTACCGATTAATGTTAAGTATTACAAATTTTAATTAGCGTTTTAGGTGTGCTTCGTCCGCGTTTTCGGCTAAAGAGAAATTTTGATGAAATTTCTACTGTAGTTAGCATATCCCTTATTATCTACAATTAACTGCTTTTTTCATTTCTAAATTTAAATGAATTATTAATCCAAAAAACCGATAAAATGAAAACCAGTCCGGTTGATTTAAATTTATTTACATGAATGAACTTTTTTAATGCAAAAACGTCATTTTTTTAAACGGCTTATCGATTTTCGTATAAGCATCATTGTCAGCTACCGGTTGATGTATAATGTCCCCAATTTAAATTATTGATTTATGTTGTGAAAGAAACACCGCGTATTCAGTCCATGAAAGGCCTTGAAAAAAATTTTTGATGCAAACCAATTCTTTCTATATAAAGATTGATTACTGATAAAATTCAGAATTTAAAATTTTTTTATAATGCGAAAATTCACTAAAGTAAGAAATGAAAAATTCGCTAATTTTTTTGTATTCCCTCTAACATCTTTGCAAGCTAATATTTTATCGCGGCTTTATGATTTTAACACGTAAAATTTAAAAGTATTTCGATCTCGCGATATTTTGGGTATATTGAAGTTACGCTGTTAGTGTGCTTCTCGAAAAAGCCTTTTTTTCGAAACTTTCACGTTTGTTTTTCCAATATTTAAGCTTCTACCGCAGTGATACCTTTTAGAGCACATTTTGGAGATATACATCAAACGATGCGTAATTACAATGTCTGCTTTTTCTCATTTATACATTTTGCATAACCGAAGAGCAGAAAATATTCTATCCAAAAAACTGCAAATTTTGTAAAATTGTATAAATTTGGTTTCAAAACATTGCGGCCACGTAATTCTTTACTTATAAATGGCACAACGATTAAATATGGACTATAGTATTCAACAATTGTATACAGCTTACATTAGCAAAATTAACTTTCTAAGTTGTAATATCATAATATCAAAAAGTTGTAAAAAAAAACTATTTGGTTTCAATCACATTTTTGAGAAATTTTAACTTTGAGTGTTTATTTCTCCAACATGGAACTACTCTCGATCACAAAATTTTATGGACGTATTCTTTCATGTCTTGTGAATAAAAATTCGTCATCACTTAATTTTCAAAATATTAAACGAAACAAATATTTAATGCATAAAGTTGATTTCTTAAAATCGAAAACAAAAAAGAATTTCCCGTATATTCAAAATTGGGATATGTACCTTGAAAATATTTGAAATTGGCTGAACTATTTTTGAAATGTCGGCTATATTGATACATATGTATATATATAGGTGATTTTGACTAAAACCTTATATTCGAGACGTTTTTAATATTTTGATTTCTCTTTAGTTGTTTATTATATTTTGGTCGTTAAATTAAAAATAAAATATATGGTTGTCATCGAATTCAATTACATATTATCAATATGTATTGGGTTTGACAAAACATTTTCTACATGTTATCGATATATTTCTGTTCGTTAAATGAAATTTTTTATAAGAAATATTACCGAAGTAAGCACTTCGTTAGCTTCATGCAAACTTGGTTTCTCTAAAATAGTGGCCTTTTTTAATTGGAACAAAATACAATCATTTAAAACGGATTTCCATAGAAATTAATTCAAATTCATCCAAAGCTTAAGTGCTAAATATAACAAATAATAAATATATAAGATGCGACGTTTTCTTGCCATTAATTGCACTCCAGTACATTTCAATAAACTTTTTTTGAAAGTGCAGTTAGATCCTAATTGTTCAAAGAGGGTAAAATGAAATTCCTTATTTAGATTAATCCTACCATATATATCATAATATAACTCACGATCGCTCAATCTGATTTCGACAATATGTTCATATGTGTTTCGACCCATGTTGTGGACCGATCGTGAAAAAATCTTGAAATGGTATTTTTATATACCAGACTATTATTTGTGGCAAATTATGTATCAAAAGCTTTATTTGGTAATGAGTAATGTGCGTTTAAGAGATTTTCGTAAAAGGACCTTGTATGGAAGCTATGACCAAAGACAAAATTTCAAAATTCTGTATACACTCAAACCTCGATTTATGCGATTAATTCGTTTCGCAAAAAAGCGCGTAATTCAAATTCGCACAAAACGATACACTAGCTCCATACAAAATCCACTAGTTGGGTTTTAAATTAAAAAGCGCACATTTTCAAATTATTCCCTTAGAAGTCAAACAAAATCGCATATAAAAAATCAACAAAAATTTAATTCTTTACTGAAACCATAAAAAATAAGGGAAACAAACAACAAAATAATATCAATTTCAAATAATGGAGAAAATATACAACATTTCTTAAAAATAAAACTTAATATCTCTTCATGTACAAAGGATTTGAGCAATACTTTATATATCCGAACCGGAATTGGTATCAGTAGTTGTAGTTTGTTGATCGCTTTTTTTGGATGTGGACCAAAATTTTCCTCAAAATTATTTTTGCAAAGAAAAATTTTAGAATTTTGAAACCGCACTATTTCAAATTCGCATAAAACGAGGTTTGAGTGTATATGACATTATTTGGTAATGAATATTGTGCATTTAAGTGATTTTCTGGAGGGGACCTAGTATGAGAGCTATGACCAAATATGGACCGATCGTAAAACAATTTTATAGTGTAATTTATGTATATAAAAGCAATATTTTTGCTAAATGTATGGATATCAATATTTTGTAATGAGTTATGTGCGTTTAAGTGATTTTCGGAAGGGAACCTTGTATGGGAGCTATGACCAAAGATGAACCGATCGTGAAAAAATTTTGAAATAACATTTCTGTGTACAAAAATAGTATGTATGCCAAATTTTTTATGGGTATCACTATTTGGTAATGAGTTATGTGCCTTTAAGTGTTTTTCTGAAAGAGACCATGCAATTATGGACAGATAGGAAAACAATTTCACAGTAATACTTCTGTGTACATAAGCAATACTTGTGTCAAACTTTATAAGGATATTTTAATTTAGCAATGAGTTATGCGCGTTTAAGTGATTTTCGGGAGCGGACCTTGTATGGGAGGTATGACCAATTATGGACCGTTCCGAAAAAATTTTCATAGTAATATTTCTGTATATGTGAGCAATACTTGTACCAAATTTTATATGGATATCTTAATTTAGTAATGAGTTAAGTGCGTTTAAGTGATTTTCGGGAGGGGACCTTGTATGGGAGGTATGACCAATTATAAACCGTTCCGAAAAAACTTTCATAGTAATATTTCTGTATATGTGAGCAATACTTGTA